GCCAAAGGCTGCAGACAGGGTTCTAAAGCAGCTGGAGCACACAGTCCCACCAGGCAGAGTTGGGACTCTAAATATGTTCCTAAAGGACAGCCTTCAAGAGACACTAAGCACAGCTCACTCTCAAACTGACAGCAATACACACTCATGACGGTGCTTGCCGAAACAAATTCATTGGGGTTTTTTTTGTTTTCTTTTATGGAACAGAAATAATTTTAAAGCAAAAACCTAGGAATGAATAAGATTAAAAAGTAATAGTAAACATTAGTATAACAGGTACCTGAAATATTTATGTATATCCTTTCTAGAAATACACCCCTTACAACTGTTGTTAGACAAGATGAATGATCAACTATATAATTGTGGAGACTGAAGAACAATTCCTTACAAAGCTATAAAGAGAGAGTAGATCAAAACTCACTGTGTGTTGATGACAAGTCTATCCCACTGTCCCTTAATATCATCTTCTGATGGCTGTTCAGTTATGTACAGCCCATCAAATTCTAATTTCCTTGCCACTTCCTTCTCTCTCTTAAAAATAACCAATGGAACCTGCAGATGGAAAAAAAAAAAAATCAGGAATTATTTAAAATGCACTGACATGTCCACAAATTTTTAAGAAAAACTGATTGTTATGAAGAATTAAGTATGAAAACTGAACAAAGCAAAAATAGTATTTAAAAAAAATTAAACATGTGACAATTGCCCAGAACACTGCAAAGGTATAGATGCACAAGGACTAGGTCATTCAGAATCCTGTAACTACAGTGTACCGAACAGTTGTAAAAAGATGGCCAAAAACCCTGTGCCCTGGTTTTGGCTTGGCAGAGTTAATTTTCTTCATAGTAGCTAGTAAGGGGCTATGTTTTGGATTTGTGCTGAAAACAATGTTGATAACACAGGGATGTTTTAGCTACTGCTGAGCAGTGCTTACACAGAGTCAAGGACTTATTTACTCCTCACCCCACCAATGAGTAGGCCGGGGGTTCACAAGAACTTGGGAGGGGACAAAGCCAGGACAGCTGACCCCAAATGATCAAAGGGTGTTCCATACCATACGATGTCATGTTCAGCATATAAAGCTGGGGGAAGGAGGAAGGGAGGGATGTTCAGAGTGATGGCATTTGTGTTCCCAAGTAACCATCACACATTATGGAACCCTGCTTTCCTGGAGATGGCTGAACACCTGCCTGCCAATGGGAAGTGTGGCCTAACCCCCGCCCTGCCAATGGGAAGTGGTGAATGAATTCCTTGTTTTCCTTTGCTTGTGTGCAGCTATTAAACTATCTTTACCTCAAGCCAAGAGTTTTCTCACTTCTACTCTTCTGATTCTCCCCCCATCCCACTGCAGGGGAAGTGAGCAAGCAGCTGTGTGGTGCTTAGTTGCCAGCTGGGGTTAAACCATGACAGCCTGAAAAGGGATCCTTCAAATAAAAATAGTTCTTCAGTGCTATTAGAGCTAGCCAAGTGAGAGAGAACTAAAATAAAAAGAACTTTTAATATTAATTTGGGATCACACTTTTTGATTGTATTTTGATACCCAGAGGCGTTACAGGCTGCCTTTCTTAAAGAATTCTTGTAGTTTCATAGGGAGAAGCAAAGTGGTTTCACAGCAGAGAGAGAAAAAAACCAACCACCCCAAACAAACAAACAAACCAACAACCCACACAACCAACCAACCGAACAAAAAAAAAAAAACAAAACCACACAACAACAAAAAAAAAAAACACCAACACCACCACCAAAACCAGACCTGGAAGCAATAACAAATCACATGCATATTCCATACACTTGATTTGTGCTCTGTAGTTCTTTGCCAGCAGCTGAGACACCTGAGCAGTAAGGATCAAGCTTTACCTACAACACTCTACATCAGCTAGATGACATTCAGAAGTTCCTTCTGAGAACGCAGATGTAACTAGTGGTCCTAGTAGAAGGGACTTTTCTTAGAAATCTGTTACCAACAAAAAATAAACCCTACTTTCCACTAGAATTATTTCTCAGCTCCCCAAAATTTAGCCACTCTGCATTACATCCCTCAACAGTATTACTAGTCCAGACTGGACATGAGTATACTGAAACAGTAATAATAAAATCCTTCTGAGAACGCAGATGTAACTAGTGGTCCTAGTAGAAGGGACTTTTCTTAGAAATCTGTTACCAACAAAAAATAAACCCTACTTTCCACTAGAATTATTTCTCAGCTCCCCAAAATTTAGCCACTCTGCATTACATCCCTCAACAGTATTACTAGTCCAGACTGGACATGAGTATACTGAAACAGTAATAATAAAAATTAGAGTACTCAAGCAACATGGTGATTGCATTAGATACAATAACAACAGTTCCAGTCTTATTTTCAGACAGCTAATTGAGAAAAATTTAGTGGATTTCATGCAGAGCAATCTCCAGAAGCAAACATATCACACATAGATCTGCAGCTATGAAGATTTTTAATTTTAAAAGCAGTATATCTCTAAAGACAGAGACCAAAACCATATTTGGTCTTTTCTTCAGGGTTTCACAACTGAAAAGGCAGCAATTCATTACAGCAAATGATGATAACGTCTTTGCCTTCTCGTCAGAGAATAAATGTAGTTCAAAAAAACAATGTGGGAAAGTAGCATAAAAAGTCACAGTGGGAAAAATAAGCTGTAAGGTGGGAGGAGGAGGACATCTCAAAAGACAGAAAGCTAAGCTTTCATGCTGCATGACAACCAGTGAAACAGGAGAATGAGTTTTAGTATTTATTGACCTGCAGAGACACTTAGAGATGAAAATCAATCAACCACTTAATGAAGTAGTATGATGAGCATTTGCCTCAAATAAAAATACAGATCGTGTCTTTTTAGCATACAAAAAGTATTATCCAATAAATAAGAAAAATATTAAGGACCACATAAAAGCTTAATAAAGAAATTATAATTTTAAGGACAAATGAGCAGCTGTATTGGGACACAGCAAAGGCCCATTTAATTTAGTACTATCTTGCACTTTAACCTATAGTTTTTGCCTCAGAAGGAGTGTAAAAATGGAGGAAGTACATCCCAGATATACTCCTCCCAGCTCCAGAGATATATGACATTTAGTCTTCCTAAACCAGAAGCAGCATTTTGCCGATAAAGGTGGCATCTTTGTTTCTTACAACCCTAAAAGAGATCTTGTACACGGTATTCCTTTAAAAGATGCTTAAGTTCCCATCAAAACACTACCACCAGAGTGAGTATGAAAAGCAGGGATTGTCTAGAGCCACAGTATGCAGTAGCAGTAATCCAAAACATTGTATGCTTATGGGTATAAATTGAAATCAGGGAGGTTTAGATTAGATATCAGGAAGAAATTCTTCATGGAGAGGGTGGTGAGGCACTGGAACAGGTTGCCCAGAGAAGCTGTGGATGTCCCATCCCTGGCTGTCTTCAAAGCCAGGCTGGATGAGGCTTTGAGCAACCTGGTCTAGTGGAAGGTGTCCCTGCCCATGGCAGGGAGGTTGGAACTAGATGGTCTTTAAGGTCCCTTCCAACCCAAACCATTCTATGATTCTATGCTTTTCAAATGACCCAGTTGACAGACTAGCAATGCAGTCATCTAGCTTCCTCTGGCCATGTGCATTCACAGGTTGTCTTTGACAGTCACAAGCAGCTTCTGGTACAGGTTACTGCTATAATTGTCTGGCTGACAAGGTAACAGTGCAAATGCTGATCCTATGACCCACTGTCAGCCCAGCAAATAAGGCTCTGGCCTGTAAGTTCCTGAATTCACACAGCACCTAACACACAATTCCTGTGTAGGTTGCACTAACACCACAGTGTTTCTTTGCATGGTCCCTCAACCTGCTTAAGTGAAGTTACTATGACTTTGTTCCAATTTATACCACTCAATGGAAAAAAAAAAGTGGGGAGCTAGAAGAAGAAACAACATTCAGTTTCTCTTACTTTCAAACAGTAATAGCCTATGATGCAGAAAAATGAGATGACTGTGTGCAGGATGGCCAAAATCCGCAGCGTGGGCTCCATGTAGCCACTGCTTTCTTCCAGGACATAATGCACTGCAATAACCCTCTCATTGTCGCTTTCCAGCATGTTCAGTTTGGTAGTTTCACCAGCAGATACCACAGGAAGTTCCTTTTCTTCTGTCACAGCAGAGGTGGAGACCTGTTTGAATCACTTAATTTTAATATTGCAGCTGTATTCCTTCGACAAGAGATTTACACTACTACAAGCTAAGTGGTATAACTGAAAACAATGATACCAATGAAAATATAATTATGGGGAAAGATTTTTTTTTTCATAAAAATGTCCACAGAGTTTTCTCACAGAGACCCTTTCATCTTGTTACACCAATCTGTGATAGTGTACATTTTCTTTTTTTTTTCTCTCTCCACTTTCTGTACATGGTAGCAAATTTGGGCCATGCTGAATTTTATCCCCTGGGATTCCCACATGTAGTCTTTATTAGCAAAGCTCTGCCAGAAGACACTATGATTGTCAAGACTTAGTATTAATACAAAGAAGATCAGTGATATTGTGATGACTTCTTACTGTACACACCTTCTTGGCACAAGAAGACATCTCTGCTGACATACATTAGCTTAAGTTGCCAGTGAAGGTTGGGCTTGGCTGAGTCACTGTACTGTGAAATAGAGCATCGGAGGCATGGGTACGCCTTTCAGTCTGCTGTTTCTGTTGCAGCACAGAACTTTGTAAACAGCTATTTGTGTACTGGAAGTCTATTATTTCTTCACACAAACACTTTAGCTCTCACTGTGTTAGATTTCTGAAGTGGCAGTATGAAGCAGGTATTTAATCTGTTAGGCTAGGCAGTTTTATCGTAGCATACTGTCTACAAAATCTGAATGTTTTTCAGTAAACAACATGAAAAAGTATTGTGACGAGTTTACCTTGTAGAAAAGCAGGATGAAGTTGATGGCAAAAGCAACAAACAATGCCAACATCCTCATGTTGTAAAAGTTTCGTGCAAAGTAATTCTGAAAATCGAAACAGAACATAAATACACTTTGCCTAATAATGATACCACAATCATCATTAGGTTATTGTATGGCAAGTTAGTTTGTTTTCCATATGGAAATTTTTAATAGAATTATAAATAGAAAAAAAAGAAGGAAAAAACCCAAACATTTTGAGTGATGTACTGTACAAATTCTCTCCTGGTCTATATGTGCAATAATGAATAAATCACCTTTTTTTGACTCCATGCAGAAAGGGATGAAGGATTTCTAATTGCCTCTTACATGTTTTTCATTATCCTTTCAATACACATAGAGACAACATAGAGACATGACAATGTAGTAGTAATACAGGAATCTTTATCTGCCCTGTACCTTAATATTCTTGTTACTTTTACCAAGAAACAAAATGTCTGCATATAAGGTTGTGGAATAGAAAAATATTTTAAAGAATCAACTGCATTTTCACCATATCAGCAAAACATTAATCTCTGACCCAAGTTCCTTGAGTAGAAACCTTCTCTCTCTCATGTCATGATGCTATGAAAAAGATTGGAGAAATGTATCTTTTCCCTTCATGACAATTCACAAACCGTTCTAGCACACATTTTGAATGCTTTAACCCTCACGTGGGAATTCCTCCATTTCTCAGCCCTAACCATAGATGACTATTAGTGAATTATTAAATGAGACAATTAGAAGAAAAATTAAATTTGCATGACTACTACATGTTTAGCCTAAAAAATTAATCTGAGTTCAAAAGCAAAACTTAAACACCTAATTCCTTATCAAGATTGTGACTGCAGTTCTGTAGTTTTGCCTTGTTGCTCATGTTAGAATTAGGCTGTTTCTAAACAATTGTATCTCCTAGCGATATAGGCAAAAGTGTATCTCTATTTGCTTTGCATTTCACACTGGCCTCACAGAATATGTGCAGATCCTCCTAGCTAATAAATGCATGGACATCACATTTTACTGAGGCACTTTCAGATACAGTTGTAGTATTTTAATTAGCCGTGTTTTCCACAGGTTTTGAGAAGTTTCTCATACAATTACTTGTTATTTCACAAAAAAAATTGTAATATCTTTTCTTATGAGTTTTAGGCTAAGCATTGTATCTTAATAAATTCTTTTATAAAAGAGTTTGTCATTTCCCAAAGTTGTCTCTCAGGGAAAGACAAATCCTACAGGCTCACAAACTGCTGTGAAATTTCAGGATATTTTATTCACATAAAATCCATGTCTGTTTTACAGGCATTTCTGAAGGACTAAATTTTGGACAGTAATTGTCTTCCTAAGAATTAGTATCTTCTCTACTAAGTTATTTGTTTGTTTCTTTTCTCTAACATTCCAGTAAAACCTTTGTCTTTATGTCCTTTTCATGGATGATGGTAGAGAAATAAGGTTTATTGGATGCAAAGTTCTCTTTACACTTATAGAACAATATGGTGGTACATATCCCTGCCAACAGCTAAACACACAGTCTAAAGAATAGCTTACAAGAAGTTTCTGTTGGTATGCAATGATTTTTTTCCAAAAAGCTGACTCCTGAACTTCTGGTTCTCCATATCTGTGAGTATGAAGTTGTCTTAATTTCTGTTTCACTTTCTCTTCCTTGGCTTTCTCTTCCTTTTCTCCATCTTCTCCTCTTGGGACACAAATGAAGCCAAAATAACATGTCAATAAAATTGCTAAACAAAAAATTAAAATCACCCCCTGAACGTGGCCATTGCACCTTTTCATGAGGCTCAAGTAGTCGTGAGACTCATGCAGTTCACATACATGAATAATAAAGAGACATATCCCTCTTCAGCCCAAAGAACTGGCCAGGGTGACAGTTTGGTTATGTCTACAGACAATTAAGCTTAGTGGTTTGGCACCTTAAGTGAAGATGCTAACTGGCAGAGGCAGGTAATCAAGAATCTGCCAACCTTACTACCTGTGGGTCTGCTTCATAACTGTTCAGATAATACTTGTGGATAAATGTCTGTAAGATGACAGCTGTATGTCTGTGTAAGTGTCTATAGGTCTAGGTGCTCCCCCCCAACCTCATGCATTTGAACTATCTGATTCCCACAAAGGTTGCAGAAAACTTTGCTGGTTCTTGCATTTACAAGCCAAACCTCAAGTTTTAAATTCTGCATTTCTGTCCACCTGAGGAATTCATACGTACCCAACTCCAGGAGGAGACAGGACTAAGAAAGCTTGACAGTATTTGTGATGTGATTATCACCATGCTGGCCGACTACAGAAAGCCATAGTTAGCAAGCTGCCTTTTCCAAACACATGGATCTAAGGAACTGCAAATTGTCATAGGAGTTAATTTGATCTAATAGCATGATAGATGAAAGGATCATAGAAGTCCATTTGAAGCCCAACCAGAGTGACAGGCAACTTAAAAGTTACATTATTAATTTCTCTGTACCTATCTACAAACAGAATAACTGATGTCCTAAGCTGCTTCTATTACTAGAATACACTCAAACTTTCACTTGAAAGTTTGTCTTATGTTAGGAGTGGCTTCAGGGAAGCTAATAGGGCCAGGCACTGCACTCATCACAGAGAAGACTGTGTGAGTTGCAGGGATACCTGTAAAGTGGAGCAATCAACAGTGAAATGACCTTCACAAGTCAGCAAGACTCTCCTTCACAAGGTTATACTGACTGAGCTAGAAATTTGGTATACTGCCTAGGAAGAAGAGTTTTTGTTCCTGGCAAGTGTCAGTCATCCCAGGAGAGCAATAAGGATAAAGCTTGCGACTAAGGGACACATTTAGAATTTTGGCAGTGACATATCAGGTACAGGAACTGTTCACGTATCAGAATTGCACATGTAACAGGAACCATAAAATACAGCAATGGAGTGCCATACTTTCTGCTGGTTAAAACAAAGCACTATAGTTTGTTTTCACTTATTTTATTCTGAGTTAGTCCCATTAACATTAGATTGTAACATATCCTAAAAAGACTAAAATTATAATTTATCAAACACTAAGTTTTTTCATAAAGACATAAGAGTACTCAGCAATTAAATAAAATTACATTGGAATATTAAGGTTTTGCAAAATCCAAATAACCCAAAACAGGTCACAGCAAGTGAGACGGGCAAAACAGATTCAGTGCCTCCACTGATGGATAACAAGACTCTGAAACCCAAGTGCTCTTAGAATTTTTCTAACAGATTTTCTTCTAGCTTTCAGACTTACCAAGAAAAACTTAATCAAACACATTCTAAAAGAAACTAAATTAACATTACAAAGGATGCTTCTGGAAGAGGGAAATTCATAAAAAGTAGCTGAGTGGTGCTACTTAATGGCATTTCCTTGCAAATATGCATGGATATGAAGGATGGGTAAAAAAAAAAAAAATCTTAACTGTGGAACGTGAATGAACACAGAACTATAGGCAAAGAAGTAAGTAGAAATCAAGCTGGTCTTTCAGCGAAACAAACCATATTTCATACGATCAGAGGTTAAAGTAGTACATACTCTGCTTTTTCAGGTTCAGATTTTGTTTCCTCCTTCTCTTCCTTTTCCTCTTCTTTCACCTGCTCCTACAGAAAGCCAGATTAAAAAAATTGTCTAAACACTACTATACAATACAGAGTTAGTTAAAAGAACACACAGAGTGCAGAACGTTAAGTTATGGGGTTTTTTTAACAAGTGAAACTCGGAGAGATGATGATCCTTCAGTTTACATTAATGCAGAGACATTTTAACACTGAATTAAAAGCATGCCGAAACACCATGTATTTGGAGAAGGTTGTGGGAACTTAGGTTTATGACGTCAGAGAGGGTAAACACTAGTAATTATATGTGAGTCCTTAAAAAACATATCATAAAACCCAGAAAAACATAGACACAAGTTTTTTTCTAGACTATACTTAATACATGAAAGTGAGAAACACACAGCAGAAATAAAAGATGCAGTTACCTGGATTTTTTCCTGCACCTCAGGCATTGGAGCTAAGGAGGGAGTGCTTAGTAAATCACTCAAACCAGCATTTGGATTGTGAGGGATCAATTTATACTGTCCACCTTCTCGTTTCAAATCCAAACCAAATATATCTGAGAGTAGATCACTCTCATCTGATAAAGTTCTCAGATCTGTCAAGTCTTCTGTAGGCAATGCAGCTTCTGTTGGCTTCCGCTCCCCCTCTTCTCCTTCCCCACGTACCTCATCCTGAGTGGGATCTGGCATATTAGCTAATAGTTCAGCCACTTTGATTTTCTTTGCTCCTTCTACTAGACTTCCTCCAAGCAGCAAGCTGCATATGATGCGAAAGAATCCCCGGATGACACTACAAGCAAAATGCAGCAAACCCACCAAAATGCTCCAATAGGAAGAAAACAAAGCCAAGACCATGTCCTTCATGGTCATTTTCTTCACTTTTTTCATCTGTTTCTTTAGGCTCTTCACGCTGAGCATTTTCATAAGAGTCATTAAATTATATCTGAGAGCTACTAGTGCTGACTTCATAGTCACAAGAGAGAAGAAACCCATTCTAGGATCCTGTTCCTCAGGCTTATCTTTCTCATTCTCCTCTTTATTTGCTGACCTTTCATTCAGATCTGACTCAGAGATCTGGGCAGCCAGTTGCATTTCAAAGATGGTATCCTCACAGAAATTCACAAAAAGTTCCATCTTTTCTTTCTCCCCGCCTTCATTCACAACATCAAATATAAATTGTCTCTTTGACTCTTTAACCTGTGGTTTCTCCCACTGAGTCCGACTTGACTCACTTATTTCAAAATAAACTCGTTCAATGCGCTTCGCACTGCCCATGATTTCTATGCGACCAAGGAAAGGCTGAAAGTAATTCAGCACACTCTCTGACAGTTCGAGAAAAGTTTGCAAGCGGGTATCGTGGGGCATGTGTTCTGACAGGTTGGTCAGGAGAACAGCGACATTGAAACCAATGTCTTTGGCAGGCTCATGGAATCGCTTCACAAACTCCTCATAGTCCAAAGTCTCATTCTCATCTGTTTCGGCACATGACAGCAGAAACTCAGTTTCAGACTGGGTGTAATGCTTATGGCTTTCCATTGCCTTGTGAAAATCCCTCTTTGAAATTATCCCTTTACCATCAGGGTCATATTCTTTGAATGCATCAGAGGAAGTCAAATCCTTCAATTTTAAGAACATATCGAAAAACTTCAGAATCATCTCCACATTGTTGGACGATTCTACAAGCATATCGACCATCTGCTTGCCAATGGTTCCATTCACAACATTACCTAGATGTGATGACATGAAGTTAGAGATACTGATGGCAGCAAACGTTTTGGCAAAGGGTATAATAATGAGTAGTGAAATAATCAAACAGTAAAAATGATAAGCTATTGGCTAACACACTCACATGAGAAAGCTAACTGTAAAAACAGAAATATTTTGCTAATAACACTACCCTAAGACTTGGAAAAAAATGAAGTGACTAAGTATTTGCCATTAAAGAAAGGAATAACTAGCAAGACCTATAGGGAGACATCTCTTGCACTTAATATAATACTAAACATAAGGCAGCATACTATGAATTTTACTGTAGTGTGCAGACAGAACTAGTGACACATTAGTTAGGATGAGCAGCTTTGTAGGTTATTCGTGCAGCACAGCCTACAGCGCTAAGAATTTACTTTGCTTCCCAGTGACCTTCTATCAGCAAAGCAGTAGCAATGCATGCTATACCACAATCTATGATGCATTTACTGCCCTCCCAGTTCTCTCAGGAGAATAAATGTAAGAGAATACATGTAAGAAGTAAAGAGGAAAAAACAGATCTTTGGATCACCTCTGTGTATGTTTGCTTGATCTAGCATATGAAGCACTAATTCAATACCATAAAGTATCTAAAGAAATAGTAGTATTTCTTGACAGTGATCACATTCTCCAGGGAATCATAGTTTCAGGTACTTGCTAAAAAGGACCTTGAACATAGTCACTAGATGTATCAAACCTGTTCTTGATGGCTAAGATCACTACTAAAATAAATGCAATACAGTAAAGGTGTTAATAAAATTACTAATAAATGGTTCCATTCCTAGAACTCAGGATTCTAACTTCAATAGTAAAAAAACATTTCACCTAATCTAAAAGAAAAGCCAGGTTCATGGAAACAGATTAAAACTTCTGCCAGAGCTGGGGCTGGGAGAATGGAGAGCCACCCATGGTTAGAGAATATGAGGTTCAGGAGCAACTAAGTAACCTGAAGGTGCACAAGCGCATGGGACCTGATGAAATACATCTGTGGGTCCCGAAAGAACTGGTAGCTGAGGTTGCTAAACCTTTATCCACCGCATCTGAGAAGTCGTCGTGGTCTGGTGAAATTCCCACTGACTGGAAAAGGGGAAACATAAGCCTCAACTTAAAAAAGTGAAAAAAGAAGGATCCAGGGAACTACAGGCCAGTCAGTCTCACTTCTGTGCCCGGCAAGATCATGGAGCAGATCCACCTGGAAACCATGAAAAGGCACATGGAAAACAAAGAGATAATTGGTGACAGCCAGCATGGCTTCACCAAGGGAAGATCGGGCAGGACAAATTTGGTGGCCTTCTACAATGGGGTCACAACCTTGGTGGAAAAAGGATGTGTAACTGATGTCATCAAACTGGACTTGTGCAAAGGATTTGATACCGTCCTGTACAGCATCCTTGTCTCTAAACTGGAGAGACATGGACTTGACAGGTAGACCGTTTGGTGAATAAGGAACTGGCTTGATGGTCACACTCAGAGAGTGGTGGTCAATGGCTCGACATCTGAGTGGAGACCAGTAACGAGCGATGTTCATCAGGGTTGGTTTTGGGACCTGTACTGTTTAACATCTTCCCAAGTGACATGGATGATGGCATCGAGTGCACCCTCAGCAAGTCTGCTGATGACACCAAGCTGTGTGGTTCATTCCACATACTGGAGGGAAAAAATGCTATCCAGAGGGACCTGGACAGGCTGGAGAGGTGGGCCACTGCCAACCTCATGGAGTTCAACAAGGCCAAGTGCAAGGTCCTGCACATGGGTCAGGGCAATCCCAAGCACAAGTACAGGCTGGGCGGAGAATGGATCAAGAGAAGCCCTGAGGAGAAGGACTTGGGGGTACTGGTGGACGAAAAGAGCTGTCAGGGTGTGCTGACAGCCCAGAAAGCCAACCATATCCTGAGCTGTGTCTAGTGAAGCATGACAGCAGGTCGAGGGAGGGAATTCTC